CCAACTTAGTGTGAGACTCTGTCTCAAAATCAAAAATACATGTATGAAGATACAAAGGATGTGACTGTACTTCATGTACAATGTACAGATACGAAAAATTGTTCTCTATATGTGTAATATGAATTGTAATGCATTCTATTGTCATATATATAAAACAAATTAAAATTAAAAGTAAAAAATGATATTTAAAAAAAAAAAGATCTAATGGAAAACAAAAGGGATAGGAAGCATCTAAAACCACTTGTGATGGTGATGTGGATATACCAATATGGTTTAAGTTTATGTCTTCCCCAAGGCAATGAGCCTCTGCAGATGTTGTGGGAACCAACTGCCTACAGTATTTGAAACACAAATCATTAACTTGTTACCAGTTTACATTGGAAGTCAGAATATAAAACAGTTTAAATATGTTAACTCAGATGCAGTCAAGCTTTTTCTATGTTCATTTGAACTACTGATGTCAGTACAAAATTCACAAATTTCTTATGCCTTGGAGGGTTGCTTTGTTCTCTTAAGAATACACCACTATGTCTGAATATGTTCTCCAGATATTTCTACAATTCAACAATTTGATAGACATGTTCACAGTGAGAAAAAATATAAATTCAATCTAAAAAACAAGGAATGAGGAATCTTATTGATAGAACCTGATATGATTTCATTGTTCAACTAATTACTTTTTTATTATAAACAATGTGCTAAACATCTTTTTTAAATATTTATTATTTTTTAGTTTAGTTAGACACATTATCTTTATTTCATTATTATGTGGTGCTGAGGATTGAACCCAGGGCCTCACATGTGCTAGGTGAGTGCTCTACCACTGAGCCACAATCCCAGCCCCTGTGCTAAACATTTCTAATGCTCCACTAAGGTTGAAGCGATTCAGCTCATTCAGGCCTAAAAAAAAAATCAAAAATATAGAGGGCTGGGATATGGCTTAGGGGTAAAGTGCTCCTGGGTTCAATCCTCTGAATTAGAAAAAAAAAAAAAGTCGTGCAAATGTGGTGCTGGGGATTAAACCCAGGGCCTTGTGCATTCGTGGCAGGCACTCTACCAGCCATGGAACATGGGTCAAGTCTTAATTATCAGTCTCCCAACCTTGTCCACTTGTCCCTTTCAGATCCTGTTCCCTGGACTATATAAAAATCAGACATGACATCTTTCTTGTTAAAATATATGATCAAGGAGCCAACTACCTCAGTATACACAATGAGGAAACTCAAGCCCAGAGAGGTGAGAGGATCTGCTCAATGTCACAAGGGGCCGAGCCTGGACAGAACTCTTCCAACTCTTCCAACTCCAATAGTCTAGTGGCACAGCCATGAGACAGCAGCCACAAACAGCAATTTGCCCAGAAATGGCACATCTTCCCCTTTAAAATTCATGAAAACTGGCATTCAGAGCCATAATACATGTGTGTCATATAGCCTTTGCAGAACCTTGTAATTATTCCCTTCCTGGTGAAGTTGAAGCCCCAGGGCTTTGTCTGTGTCTGCTCTGTGGTTTTAGTATCCCTTGGCACAGGCTGTGTCCCACATAGAAAGCCACACATCACTCCATGTTGACACCCATGTAGAACTGCTAAATGCTACCAGCTCTGCCATCCTAAGGAGCACAATGAAGTCCTGTTTGAAAAGCCATTCCAGAGCAATCAAAAGGCACTCACTGAACTCCTACCATGGACGGTACTGTGCAGGACAACAGGGGTCAAAAGGTCACAGTGACATAGCCTCAGCATGTGAAGAGCTGAGTCGACTAGGTGGAGCCTAGAGGAGAGACAAGGGGTACCAGGACAGTAGGATGGCCTTGAGGACATGGGTGCAGCAGCAAGGAGCCACATGTCACAATGGAATGTGCATGCTATGAAAAAGAACGACAAAGCTGCTTTGGGACAGAGGCATGGCAGGCTGGGGATGGGGAGGCCTTCCGGGTCACCTAGGCCAAGCCTCACAGGGTAGGTGTGGAAATGGTGGGGGTTTTTCCAGTACCCAGAATTGGACTTTTCCCCAGCACTTTACCACTGAGCTTCATCCCCAGCCCTTTTCAGTTTTTGAGACAGGGCTTGCTAAATTGCTCTCAGTGACCTAGAGTTTGCAAACCTCTTGCCTCAGCCTCCTGAGTAGCTGGGATTACAGGTGTGCATCACTGCCAGGCAAGGTGTGAAAACTATGACGAAGATGACCCAGCTAGTAAGCCTCTTTAGATGACCTCCGGAAACTAAACCAGTGCCATGGGGCTTGCCAGGTAAACAGAGAGAGGCAGACTGATGTGTCACCAAGGCAGTGCTGTAGGGCTGGGTTGTTGTCACTCTCATTTGCATTCCCAGCTGGTAGGCCAGGGCCAGGCCCAAACTAGGTGCTTAGAGACCTCAGCAGGCCACTTGGGCTTCTGCCCCCCATCCAAGGCCATAGAACATGTGGCACCATGTAGCCGAGTAAAATCAGATAAGTGAAGCCCATAAAGCCTATAGTACGAAGCCTGACACCCAAGAAGTGCTCGATAATGAGAGCTGTTCTTGCTGTTGCTGTGAGCAGGCCATTGCTGATTTATCTCATGCTGATTAGAGGAAAACCTGACAAGAAATCTTTGGCCCATTTCTGGCATTTCTGACTAGATCAGAAACTTGAAACTCCAGGGCATGTATTAGAACTTTGGGGAACTGGCTGAAAAGTAGACTTCAGGGCCAGGCACAGTGATGCATGGCTGTAATTCCAGATACTGGGGAGGTCGAGGCAGAAGGATAGCAAGTTCAAGGCCAGCTTTAGCAAAGTGGCAAGACCCTGTCTCTAAATTAGAAATTATAAAGGTTGAAGTTGAAGTTCAGTGATAAGGCACTTCTGGGTTCACCCCTCCAGGACCAAAAAATAAAATAGGTTTCAGAACCTGGCCCCTCCCAGTTTTAATCAGACCTAATTGTTGTTTTTAAACAAATCTCTTAAAGTTGTTCAGGGACCACTTGGAGAGAAGCTGCCATGAGCTGGGAACCTGCTATATTAGTATTCTCTAATTTTGATTTTCTTTAATGAATTTTACAAACAAAATATGCATGTTTTTAGAAAAACAATTCAAAGTAAAAGGAAACTCCCTGGCGCCCATCTCTTTCCCTAATTCTACAACCCCATTCCCAAGAAATAATCATTGTTAACTATGGTCTTAGGATTTGTCCCCAGAAATTGTCTGTGTCCTCACAAGCATATGCACTGATGTAGCTCTTTTCCCTAGTGCTCCCTTGGTGTAAAAAACAACAACAAAAACAAGATTATATGAAAGCGAAGATTGGCAAACATTGTTTTCTTCTTTTATGTGCCTCAGACAGGGGGTGGAGGTATTGGGGATTGAACCCAGGGCCACGCACATGCTAGGCAAATGCTCTACAACTGAGCTTTGAATAGATATCTAGGGAGTAGAGATCTCTCGCTAAATTGTCCAGGCTGCCCTCGAACTTGCCATCCTCTTGTGCAGCCGAATTAAAGGCATATGTCACCATGGCTGATGGCAAATATTTTCTGTAAAGGATCAAATAGCAAATATTCTCAGCTTTTGGGCCATATGGTTTCTATGCCACAGTTAGGAAATGAATGGACGTGGCAATGCTCCAGTAAAATTTTATTTATAAAACAAAACAAAGGGCTGGGGATGTGGCTCAAGTGGTAGCGCGCTCACCTGGCATGTGTGCGGCCTGGGTTCGATCCACAGCACCACATACAAGCAAAGATGTTGTGTCCGCCAAGAACTAAAAAAAAATAATAATAATAAATATTAAAAAAATTCTCTCCCAAAAAAAAAAGTTTCGGGTGTTTTTTTTTTTTTTTTTTGGCAGTAATGGGGGTTGAACCCTAGGACTCATGAGCACTAGGCAAATGCTCTGCCACTGAGATGCATCTCTAGTGCTTTGATTTTGAGATAGGGTCTCGCTAAGTTGCCCAGGCCGGCCTTGAACTTGCCATCCTTCTGCCTCAGTCACCCAGGTAGCTGGATTACAGATATGGACCATGGTACCTAGATTGAATTTAAAATTTTGATAGATGGTGCCAAATGGTTCAAGCTTTTTGTCATTCTCATTACTTAATATTGTTTCTAGTGAGCATTTTCTGTTAAAGTTTTAGAAATAACTAAAGGAAAGATCATAAAGACCAACAGGCAGCAATGAATCACAGTAATGGATTCTGTAAGCACAAAATTCCCTGACCTTAACAAATTCAGGGAAGCCATTTATTGTTCTTCGAAGATTTGGGCGCCATGGGGACTCATTTTCTGGATGCGAAAATGGCCATCGGGGCTGGAGATGTGGCTCAAGTGGTAGCTGGCTCGCCTGGCATGGGCGGGGCACCACATAAAAATCCTCAGCACCACATAAAAATAAAATAAAGATATTGTGTCCACCTAAAACTAAAAAATAAATATTAAAAAAAAAAAGGAAAGAAAATGGCCATCGGTTACAGAGGGGATTTTGGTTTTATAGGGTACTGATAGGGTGGTTTCATCATTGGAACTTGTGGGTATGCCGTTCAGATAGTAATGTAGGTTACGACTTTTAACTAGGGAGGGCAGCTGTAAAAAGGTTGAAACTCATTGTTATTTGGAGAGATAGGAGTCCAGATTGTGAGGGATGGGCATTTCTTTTTCTGGAATTTATCCTCTCCCAGAATTTCCAAATTCGCCTCCTTCCTTCAGGGCCCATTGTTATCAGGAAAGGATTTACTTATTGGAAGGTCAGTGCTTGGCTAGTTTCTCTTCCCTCCTCCCGAGCTGCACTGTCTCTCAGCTTATCTTTGAGGGCTGTTTTGTAGGATTATTATTTTCCATAACTCTTCAGATTCAACTCTGAAATATGCTTCCAACATGAAACAATCTGCACTGTATTTTTTTTTTTTTTAAACTGGGGGTTGAACCTAGGGGTGCTTAATACCAGCCACATCCCCAGCCCTTTTTTGTATTTTATTTAGAGTGAAAGACCCACGGATTCCCTGTCCAAGAAAGACGCACGAGGCACTGGCTGCAAACGCAAGAGGTTTATTCAGACACAGACGCCTGTGGGTGCTCAGCGAAACCTCAGCCGGAGCTTTGGTGAACTGGCACACCGGGCGTTGGAGTACAGGTTTTTTATAGGGTCAAGGGGCAGGTTTCGCGCGCGCGGTGAGCAACAGGTTTCTTATTGGTGATTTTGAACCCAACATACAGGTTACCTAAAGGGTAAAGTTATTTTTCATTTTATGTTCCTGGAATTACACCATATGACAGTTACATATGAGCACTCTGATTTTTCTATTCCTGCTTATTAGCCCCTGTTTAGTCAGGCATGCCCTGGAATCTATTCTTCTGCTCTTTCCCAACCATCCTGTTTTTTTTTTTTTTTTCCTTTTAATCGGTTACACTTAACTGATTTCAAAAACACTTCTGGTGCCTGCGCAGGTTTGTGACATGGCCTGGTTATTCTGTAACTAAGCCTCGGGGTTACTGGGCTAGGGTCTTTCAAGAGACAGGGTCCAAGTTGCTCAAGGCCTCACTAAATTGCTGAGGCTGGCTTTGGATCCTCCTGCCTCAGCCTCCCCAACTGCTAGGATTACAGGTGTGTACCAAGGCGCCCAGCTGTACTACATTCTTGTCAATGTAAATTCCATTCTGCCCAGAGAATCCCAGAACGCAGCAGGATCAGCTTTTTCTAAATGTAAAGAAGGATGTGCAAAAGCAGTTTAGGCCCTTACAGAGCCAGTGTGCTTAAAGACAGGACATTGTTGCAAATTGAGCTGGAGCCTTTGCAGGCCTGAGCTCAGTGATGATGGAATAAATATTCAATTTTCCATTTAGAGTTCCTAATAAATCCTTTACACACTGGGCCAATGCTTTGGGTTTCCTAATCTGAAAAAAATGCACTGATCACATTTGGTGTTGTTGAAATTACAACTAGCTCTTGCTGAGCATCTATTAGGACACAGGCAGTGAGGGAGGTCCTTCATACATTCCCTCCAGCACTGGGATGGTGGCATCATTGTTGTACAGATGAGAAAACTAAGGCTCAGATAGGTTGTCTGGTCTGCTAAATACAGTCATGCTGCACCAAAATTGCAAATCCCTGGCAGAAAACCATTACAGTAATGAAATCTCTATTTCCCGTGATGTGGCAATCTACTTTTTCCTAAGAAATAATTCCAAAGGAACCAGAATATTAGAAATAGAAATAACATAAAAGGAATGACAGCAGGATAGGCAGTGGCACATAACTGTAATCCTAGTGGCTCAGGAGGCTTAGGCAGGAGGATCATTGAGTTGAAAGCCAGCCTGAGCAACTTAGCAAGGTCCTAAGCAACTTAGTGAGAACTTGTTTCAAAATTAAAAGGGGAAAAAGGTCTGTGGAATGTGGCTCAGTGGTCAAGTGCCCCTGGGTTCAATCCCTGGTACAAAAAAAAAAAAAAAAAATGGGTGAGGGTTGGGGAATGAGAGAGACCAAGCTTGATGGTGCATACCCCAGTGACTTAGGAGGCTGAGGCAGGAGGATTGCAAGTTCCAGATCAGGCTGGACAATTCAGCAGACCCTGTATAAAAATAAAAAAGACTAGTGATGTAGCTCAGTGGTAAAGCACATCTGGGTTCAATCCCCAGTACCTAAACAAATAACCGAGCCTATAGACCTGTGGAACAAAAGAGCCAACATTCCTATCATGGAGTCCCAGATAGAGAAGAGAGTTGGGCAGAAAAAAAAATGATCAAGAAATGGCAAAAAAAAAAAAAAATAAAAAAATAAAAAAGCTTGGTGGAAGACACAAATCTACAAGATCCCAGATGAAATGTACTAACATTTCAATAATTACTTCAATGTAAATGCTGCATATACACCAAAAGACAGATTGGTCAGACGCAGTGCACACTCCTGAAACCCTAGCTACTCATGAGGATAAGGCAGGATTCCAAGGTCCAACCAGCCTCAGCAAGTTAGTGAGACCCTGTCTCAAGATACAAAAAAATAAAAAGGGCCACAATTTAGTTCAGTAAAAGTGCTCCAGGCTCAATCCCCAGAACCTACCCCCATACATGCCTATTACTGAATAATATGCTGCTCATAAAAAACTTACTTCAAATTCAACATAGGTAGGTTGAAAGTAAAAGAACAGACTATATACCTTGCAAACATTCATTTTCTAAAAAGAACTACATTAATAGCTGATCAAGTAGCCTGTGGAGTGAAAAAAAGGACTAGAGATAAGAGACATTATGTAAGGATAGCTCGGTCGGTCAGTCCACCAGAAAGATGTCAAAAACCAGAGACCAGAAACAAAAACTGGTAGGAGTAATAAACAAATTCAGTTACAATTTGGGACTTCCATACCTCCCATTCAGCAACCGATGAAACTAGAGATCTAAATAGCAGTAGAAAACACTTTTTTTTTTGCTATGCTAGTAATCAAATGCCAGGGCCTCACACATACTAGCCAAGTGCTCTGCCACTGAGTTACACTCCCAGTTTCTCAATACACTTTTATTTTAAACCACTGGGAGTTGAATCCAGGGGTGCTTTACCACTGAACCAAATCCCCAGCACTTTTTTTTTTTTGGTGTGCATGGAGAGGGGAAGAGATTGAACTCAGGGGCACTCAACTATTTTGCATTTTATTAGAGACAGGGTCTGAGTTACTTAGCACCTTGCTATTGCTAAGGCTGGCTTTGAACTCGCAATCCTCCTGCCTAAGCCCCCCCTAAGTGCTGGGATTACAGGCATTTGCCACTGTGCCTGGCTTTTATTTTTTATTTTGAGACTTGTCTCACTTAGGGCCTCATTAAACTGCTGAGGCTTGCTTTGAACTTGCAATCCTCCTGCCTCAGCTTCCAAAGTTGCTGGCATTACAGGGGTGTGGTACACGGTGCCAGACTTCAATAAATATTTTTAAAGTGCCCATGGAACATTTCCCAAGATGACTAAAACAACCTCAATAAACTGCATGCAGTGAGTAGGACATACCTATAATCCTAGTCTGGTAGGCTGGGGCATAAAAATTGCAGGTCTGGGGCCAGCCTCAGCAAGTTAGAAAGACCCTGTCTCAATATAAAAAACAAAAACGGCTGGTAGAGCACTGGGGGTTCATTCAATCCCCCACACCACACATGCACACTGAAGATAACAAATTTAAAAGACGAAGTCAGAATGTTCTTTGACCATTATAGAACCAAGCCAGAAATTAGTAATAGAAATGCATTAGATACTCAAATATAAAAACTAAAATTGATTTAAAGGCTTAATGCAATGCCTACTTAAAATTTCAGTGAAGGCAGGCATAATGGCACATGCCTGTAATTCCAGTGACGCTAGAAGCTGAGGCACGAGGATTCCAAGTTTAAGGCCAGCCTCAGTAATTTAGCAAGAGTCTAAGCAGTTCAGTGAGACCCTGTCTCAAAATAAGACAGGTGTGGTGGTGTATACCTCTAATCCCAGCAACTCAGAAGGCTGAGGCAGGAGGATCACTAGTTCAAAGCCAGCCTCAGTAACTTAGCAAGACCCTGTCTCCAAATAAAATATAAAATGGCTGGGGATGTGGCTCAGTGGTTAAGCGCCCCTGGGTTCAATCTCTGGTACCAAAAAAAAATTTTTTTAAATTTATTCTGATTAGTTATATATGACAGCAGAATGAATTACAATTCATATTACACATATAGAGCACAATTTATTATATCTCTGTACACATAGTAGTTAACACCATTCGTGTCTTCATACATATACTTAGGACTGGTACCAAAAATCTTAAAGTCCAAGTGAAGCTGGGCATGGTGGTGCATGCCTGTAACCTCAGCAACTTGGAGGCTGAAGCAGGATTCAAAGTTTCATGGTCACCCTCAGCAACTTTTCGAGACACTCTGCAATACCCTGTCTCCAAATAAAAAATAAAAAGACTGGGGGTGTAGTTCAGTGGTTAAGTGCTCTGGGTTCAATCTCCAATACCAAATTTAAAAAAAAAAAAAATCCCAGCATTTTTTTTTAATAGGCACAGACAATAGACATAGCAAAATTTACTCTGAAAAGCCATAGCCCTTGAATAAATAATCTTCATAAGAAATTCAGTTAAGTGGAAAGAATTTAATACTACTTCAATATTAAAAGCTTGTCAACTAATCAAGAGAATGTGATATTGGCAAAGGGAAAGACATAGATCGGTGGAAGAAAAGACTCGGAAACAGGTCCATGCAAATATGTTCAACTGCTATTTGATAAAAGTGCCAACCAATTCAACAAAAACACCTTTGAACACATGGTGCTGGAGCAACTGGACTTCCGTAGGAATAGACTCAAAATGGACTGTAGACTCAAATGTAAAACTTCAGAAACAAACATAGGAGCTCGGCAAAAAGTTCTTAGACTTGATGCCCAAATCGCAATCAGTAAAAGGAAAATTTGTTAAGTTGGGCTTTATCAAAATCAAAAGATTGGGCTGGGGTTGCGGTTACTCAGTGGTAGAGTGTTTGCCTAGCATGCACGAGGCACTGGGTTGGATCCTCAGCACCACATAAATATAAAGATATTGTGTCCACCTAAAACTTAAGAATATTTTTTAAAAAAGATTTTGGCTTGTGAAAACTTGTGTGACGAGAATGAATAAACAAGATATAGAAAATATTTGCAAACCACACATCAAAACTGAACAGAAAGAATATACAATCTAACTAAAAAGTGGATAGAAGATAGGAACAGACTTTTCACTGAAGATATACAGATAGCCTAAAATAAGCACATGAAAGATCGTCAACATCATTAGTCAGAGAAATGCAAATTAAAATTAGTGACACATCATTATACACCCAATAGAATGGCTAAGATAAATAGTGACAAATCAAATGTTGGCAAGGATGTGCAGAAACCAAATTACTCATACAGTGCTACTGGGAATGTAAAATGGTATAGCTACCCTGAAAAACAATTTCATAGCTTCTTATAAGACTAAACATGAGCCAGGCGTGGCAGCACATGCCTATAACTCCAGTGACTCAGGAGGTTGAAGCAGGAGGATCATAGTTTCAGGCTAACCACAGCAACTTAGCAAGACCCTGTCTCAAAATAAAAAAAAATAAAAGGGCTGGGAATGTAGCTTAGAGGTAAAGCATTCCTGGGTTCAATCCCCAGTACTCGGGGGCATGGGAAGCCAGGAATTAGGTAACAGAGTACAGCATCAAGACCAACATAAGCACAAGGAATTTCATTGTCAGGTTCCCAAAAATGAGCACTCACTCATTATCTAATAATCACAAATCACAAAATTTCAGGGCTGGGGTTGTGGCTCAGAGGAACAGTGCTCACCTAGCATGCATGAGGAACGGGGTTTGATCCTCAGTACCACATAAAAATAAAACAAAGATTAAAAAAAAAAAAAAAGTCACACAATTCAATTATAAGGTCATTGACAGAAAACAAACACCAAAAAGTAACCACGCCTGTTTGTGACAACATTGACTTCAGAATAAAATGAAAACATCTTGAACCAAGTTTCAGCAAAATAATTTTATTTTCTAACACATGGTAAACATACACATCCAATATGTGTTCATCTTGCCCATCTCTTCACAAATGACTTCCAACCACAACTGCTTTGACATTTATGCATGTACTAAAGTTATCTTACTTGAAATACGAAAAATGCTTTTGGATAGGTAACATTCTGATAGGTAACATTCTGAATATATTAGACTGGTCACAGAAGAATTTGCTTTAATTAGATGAGTTCTATAAATTTAAAGCTTTGAAAAGCTACTACTTTTGCATCTAATAGTTCCAGATGAGTAGGATGCAGCAGTATCAGCTTATATTCCAGAGAAATCCCATCAGTTTTTCTGGTGATGGAACCACTTATCCACTGTATTCAGAGAAAAGAAAAACAGATCAGAATTGCTACTGAGAATCAAAATTACACACAATATACAACAATACTATACTTGCTTTAATGGATCCCACTACAGATTATCTCAACATAAATATAGTGATCTTCCTGTCTCAGCCTCCTCAGCCACTGGGATTATAGGAGTGCGCTACCATACCAAACCTAGGCTTCCTTACTTTTTTTTTTTTGAAGTTTTTTTTTGTTGTTGTTGTTGTAAATGGACACAACACAATGCCTTTATTTTTATGTGATGCTGAGGATCGAACTCGGGTCCCGCCCGAGCTAGGCGAGTGCTCTACCACTAAGCCACAATCCCAGCCGCAGGCTTCCTTACTCTTGATGTTAATTGTACAATGTGATTCTCAAATTTGTTTTGAAGTGGCAGAACCATTTTCTTAACAGAAAAAATAGGTTCCTAAGAGCTAAACAGGGAGAGAACCATTTTCTAGACGAAGCAGCCCGTGACCAGATGGGAACGTGGAGCCCAACCAACTCAAGGTCCCTCCCACATTGCCCATGAGGCATCTACATGGATCTCAGAGGAACACTGGGTCACATAATGCCAAGTGAAGTAAACAAGGCACAGAAAACACAAATACAGCATGATCTCATTTATGTGTAGGATCTAAAAAAAGTTGAGTTCATAGAAGCTCAGAGTAGAATGGTGGTTGCCAAGG